ACATTGACACTGATCATCAAAACGGAACAAGGTCAGAATAATATTTGATTCGTTAACATATCTCAGAATTCAACAACGATATCATGAAAGGCGGCGAAATGACAAAATGATGAGATCTCGCTTGTGTGACTCGGGTAACGATAAGTCGTTGTACGTCAAGCGAGAACGGTTAAGAGATAATTATCTACAGGGTTATTTACGTACGACGAATATAGTAAAAAAGGTCTACTCTAAGGAGGAGAGGTCATCGTATCGCCTCCATTGAGAGTTCGATTGGAAAGATAAACAATTACGCGTCGTATTATTCAGTGCGGTGTTGCCGTTTGTGTCTGAAACTAACAAGAAACCCGACAATGAAATGCGACACATCAGGTTCATCGTCTAGATTAATTTATTTACTACGCAGAAGACATTGAGGCCACAAGAATATTATTGTAGCGACAGAGAAAATCAATTTATGAGAATAAGTTCAACATACTGTTAGATATGAATGAAATAATATTGTGGCAAATCAATTTTACTAACTGGAGGAATTCTTGCGGAGTGCGTATTAATTATCGCAATTGTTCCTCGAAATGTATTTTGATCTACAGTGCCGTTATAGGCTCAGATATTAGTCACTTTATTGAACTGGCAACTTCACACTCGTTTTTCATCAATACAGACAAATCTAAAGTTTTCGGGCCAAAAATCGCCACCAACAAACTCATTTAACAAGCCTCTACCTCCCTCAAATTGTTCTTGTTTGAGGGAGGTAAGAAGAAACAGACTATCTAACAAGCTCAAGGAAGTTGGATGACTAAATATGGAGAACAGGAGAAAACTGCATACTGCCTGTCTCTATCATGAGAATATCTTATATAAAGTCCCTTTGTACCTATAAAGGAAAGTGACGTTTCGAACCGATGTTGATGTGAAAGATCACTCATCAAATGACGTACCTAATCAGCTCTGGTAAGAGACTTGTCAAGTTTGATTTGATGAGTGCCACAATATTCATTTCTATTTTCAATTCTGTCGTGTCATAGGTTCACGAGATTAAGTAATCTAAGCTAATTGTTTCAGAATACGTTATCTCTAATGGTAATGACCCAATCAATTGTATCATTTGACCTCATATCATCATTAGTGAACTTTAGTCTAACAAATGACGATTCATTGTGCAACTATCATATCTGACAGAGTTATTGAAAAAAAAAATAATTATATTCCGCAGTAAGATTCTAGTTTTGATCTTCCTATGGAAATTCTGCTCTATATTTTATAACCTAAAAGATATGTTCGATTCTGAGCAATATTATATTATCTCTTGGCAACAACCACAATATAATCCCTTTGTTTCTCAATTATTTTCCTTGGCGTATCTATAAGGAAGAAATCTACACATACGGTGCGAATCTGAATTGTCTCCCCATCAATCATCCCTCTTAACCCATCTCGCTTGGAGTTCGTGTATGAGCGCTCATCTCGCTTGGAGTTCGAGTAGGAGCGCTCATCTCGTTTAGAGTTCGAGGAGAACGCCCATCTCGCTAGGAGTTCGAGTAAGACGCTCATCTCGCTTGAAGTTCTAGTAGGATGCCCATTTCGCTTGACGTTTGAGTAGGACCCCCCTTTTGCTTGGAGGTTGAGTAGAATGCCCATCATGCTTGAAGTTCGAGTAGAACGTTCATCTTGCTTAGAATTTGAGTAGGACAGTAATCTCGCTTGGAGTTTGAGTAGGACACTCATCTCGCTTGGAGTTCGAGTAGAATGCCCATTTCGCTTGGTGTTTGAGTAGAACGCCTATTTTGCTTGGAGGTTGGGTAGAATGCCCACGTTACTTGGAGATCGAGTAGGACGCCCATCTCGCCTGGATATCAAGTAACACGCCCATCTCTATTGGAGTTTGAGTTGGAAGCCTATCCTACTTGAAGTTCGAGTGGGACGCCCATCTCGCTTGGAATTTGAGTAGGACACTCATCTCGTTTGGAGTTTAAGTAAGACACTCATCTCGTTTGGAGTTTGAGAAGAACGCCCATCTCGCTAGGAGTTCGGGTAGGATGCCCATTTTGCTTGGCGTTTGAGTAGAAAGCCCATTTTGCTTGCTAGAATGCCCACATTACTTGGAGCTCGAGTAGGACGCCCATCTCGCTTGGATATCGAGTAACACGCCCATCTCTATTGGAGTTCGAGTTGGCCGCCTATCCTACTTGAAGTTCGAGTGGGACGTCCATCACTCTTGGAGTTTGAGTAGGACACTCATCTCGTTTGGAGTTCGAGCAAAACACTCATCTCGTTTGGAGTTCGAGAAGAACGCCCATCTCGCTAGGAGTTCGGGTAGGATGCCCATTTCGCTTGGCGTTTGAGTAGAACGCCCATTTTGCTTGGAGGTTGGGTAGAATGCCCACGTTACTTGGAGCTCGAGTAGGACGCCCATCTCTATTGGAGTTCGATTTGGCCGCCTATCCTACTTGAAGTTCGAGTGGGACGCCCATCTCGCTTGGAATTTGAGTAGGACACTCATCTCGTTTGGAGTTTGAGCAAGACACTCATCTCGTTTGGAGTTTGGAAAGAACGCCCATCTCGCTAGGAGTTCGGGTAGGATGCCCATTTTGCTTGCTGGAATGCCCAGATTACTTGGAGCTCGAGTAGGACGCCCATCTCGCTTGGATATCGAGTAACACGCCCAACTCTAGTGGAGTTCAAATTGGCCGCCTAATTCGCTTGAAGTTCGAGTGAGACGCCCATCTTGCTTGGAGTTTGAATGGGACGCCCATCTCGCTTAGAGTTTGAGGACGTCTATCTCGCTTGGGTTCCGAGTAGGACGCTCATCTTGCTTGGGGCTCGAGTCTTCTTTGCTTCGAAACCTTCTCGGCCCTAGAGTGGATGCCTTATTGAAACACACATATGCTTTTCAAAAATGAAAGTTTGAATAGAAAACTATTGAATTTCTCTTAGCCACTTGGCTCCCCAGCCCCAGTAGGGCTGGGTCTACATTAGAAGCGAAATGCCTCCCGATCAGACGGTCTGAGCGGGTCTGGTCGGATCTGAAAAAAACAATCACATGATGCACTGGCTTTCCTCCTACAATGGAGCCAGTTCTCGTTCCGGGGAGAAAAGTCAGGTCTGAACTGGTCTAGCAGAAATCAAACAACTTTGCTTTTACTTTCAGTTGCATGGAAGCTTTGATCGAGGTGGTGCATATTGAACTTGGTTATTATATTTNGGGAAGTCAGGTCTGAATGGTCTGGCAAAAATCAAACAACTTTGCTTTTACTTTCAGTTGCATGGAAGCTTTGATCGAGGTGGTGCATATTGAACTTGGTTATTATATTTGATTGTGCCATAATGGTAGAAAAAGGAATATTAATTGAATACTAAGTCTACTCCTATGTGAACCAGAATGTAATCAAACGTCATACTGGCTGAAAACTAGCTGCCATGAGGAGCACCTACTCTGGAGTGGTCTGGTCTAGTAAGCGCGGCTCTGGTGGCCAAATCGACTCCGCTTCCAATGTAAGACCGGCCTGAATCTTTGATGACTTCATTTTGGTTTGTTCTCGAAAATTTCAAATTCTACACATCTTGTGTACATTTTTGAAACAACATTAAGTGTAACACCTATCACATCTGCTACGTCTCTTTGTGGCTTTTCTTGTTGAACAAGAACACAATTTTTTCCTACCTACACATCTGATGTGAATGTGAATGATGTCATTATTAGAGAATTCAATGTACGACTCCCAATGTTCAATCTGATTCACAGCTACACATAACTAAGTTCTGAATTACGTAAAGGGAAAAAACAAAACACTCATATAATACCAATAAAAACTCAGGTGTGGATGATATTGGTAGAAACGAAAACACTCACCCAATCCCAGATCAGTCCAATATTCGATGATACTCCAATGTACACTTTTCGAAACCCGATTTTTCACTGCTAGAAGTTGGCACAGATCGCTAGCACAGAGATTCCTCTCGACCACTACAGACTGAGAGCTTTCGTTGTCGTTGAAAAATTGGAGTTCCTCCTGAAAGTAAATGAAATGTGTTGACTTTTCAACTGTCCAAGACTTGAATGTAATGATGGAGATGTAGTGAGACAGATTTATAAGGACACTGAATATGTGAAATGATGATCAAGACAAACACTCAACAAAGGAAAAGAGAAGGGCTATTTTTTTTTTTCAAAATAGGCGCCTTTGCGAAATTTCACCAAAAGTTTCGAAAATTTTAGACGAGCAGTTCAATCCAGTAGAACAACTTACCGCTCTTTCCCCGCTTGGGCCAGCAGCGTCTTCCTCCTCGGGTTGCACTTCAGCCCATCCTTCTTCCATGGCTTCATGCAAACGCGCATAACCAACCCCATGCGTACATGTACACTTTCCTCGCGGAAACCGGCACCACTCTGAAATCAAAAGTTCATGTCAGAAAATCAGTTTCCCAAGCCATAATCCACATACTATCTGTATATGTTTGAAAGAATTTTCATATATTGGGAAAGAAAATGGAAAATTATAGACGGTTCCATTTGTATCATAGATTTCAATGTGACTCATTCCTTCATACACATCTCCTGATGATGCTAACTTGGTTGGCGAAACGAGCGTCGAAAAACAGTATTTTTGTTTTGGCGCAGTAAAAGTAACTTTGAATAAAAACGTTTCATTCATAACATTCATGAAATGTGAAAAATTTCCGTCATAAGAAAATAATTTATACAGCCCTGTTGGTAAAATGAAAATATGATATTGAAGAATAGTCCCGTGATCGTAACTATTGCGCACGGCTGGTGTAATCTTGAAGTAGAAATGGGTCAATTGAGGCTGAGCCTATTCAGGTTGGTGTTTAATATAACCTATAAAATACAAATGAAACAGAACACCGAGTCAGATGCTACAAATACCATACGCATATATGCAGACGGCTCAAAATGTGGCTCAGGATGTGGAGGTTACTCCAGATTACTAAGCCTAAGGATTAAGCGGGGAATGATAAAAAATACCAGCGTGGTTCAAACAGAACTCGCTGGTATCTCAATCGCCACAAAAAAAATAATCAGGAAAGGAATTTCTGGCAAAAACATAACAATCTGCACTGACTGCCACCAAGATTTAGCCAAAGCCTCGGTAGATAATAACATTATCCTTAGGTGGGTTAAAGGGCACGACAGGAGTAAAGGTAATCGCATTGCTGAGTCTTCAGCAATGGAAGCGGCTGGACTAAGAATTTTAGGACCCAGTGACACCTACGGCCTGATGACTTTGATAATTGCGGAATGAGCCAAACGTCACACCCATGCTCAATCCTTAAGGAGATGAGATGGAATCAAAGGATTCAGTTTTACCAGGATCACCCTGGGCGACTCTAGAAAGCTGGCGCCGAAAAAATATCTGGCGATGACCAGAAAAAACCTACGCTTAACAGTAGGAGTTCTGACTGGCCACTGTCAACTAAGGAAACACCTCCATATTATGAGGCTAGTTGACACACCTCTATGCAGGATGATGGATATAGATAGATAGATATATTTATTTGACAACTTTACACTTGAATGTTTGTTGCAAGTCAGTTAAAATATACACAGAAAAAAAAAGAAAACTAGTCACTAGTTAAAAAAATATTGAATCATAACTTGTGAATGAAGGATAATTTTGAACATTACAATAATCAGTCTCAAATTTTTGAAAATGTCAAAAAACAAATATTATGTATAAACATGAGCTCCACATATCAGATGAAATAAAATCAAATCTAAATCGGCATAATTGAAGTACTTAAATAATCCTGAGTACTATAAAAACAGTTTTCCAGGAGAATAGTTCTGGCTCTGTTTTTGAAGGAGCTTTGTTTGAGCACTTTGAACGAATTAGAAAGATGATTGTAGAGATTGATATTCAATGAATTTTTAATAGACCTTGTGAGTTTGTATCGAGGCTGTATGAACAGATCTGCATTTCTTGTAGCATGATGATGAATATCCTGATGCTGCGAATAGATTGATTCATTTTTATGGATTTCAAGTAATTGACTATATATGAATACCGATGGTAGTGGTAGTATACCAATTTTTTTGAAAAGCGGCTTACAGTGATCTCTATAATTGGCATTCATCAATATTCTGACTGCTTTTTTCTGAAGTCTGAAGATTTTAATGGAGTGAGAGGATCACCCCACAAAACTATGCCATAATTCATATGTGAGTGGAGCAAAGCAAAATATGAACTTCTCAGGGCGTCAAGAGACAATACTCTATTTAGCTGTCGAAAAATAAATATACTCTTACACAGCTTCTTACTCAGTTCATCAATGTGTGCATACCATGATAAATTCCGGTCAAGAGTGAGTCCTAGTAGTTTGGCAGTATCATCGCCATTTTGAGTGGTTTCAGTATATGAGGTCGTAAACAAGACCTTCTGGGTCTTGCTTTCGTTTAGTTTCAACTGATTTGTTGTGAACCACAGAGACGGCTGTCTAAGAGTATCATCAGTAATTCATGTTAATTCAATTATGTTTTTCTGGGACGTTATTAGAGTTGTGTCATCTGCGAAAAGAAACATTTACCTGGTGACATAAAATGACTGAAGTCATTGAAATATATCAAGAATAGCAATGGTCCCAGAACGGATCCCTGCGGTACACCATTCTTGATAGTTTTAATGTCAGACATGTTTCCATTCACACACACAGATTGGGTTCTGTTACATAAGTACGACTGAACTGTACTCAGTGGTAGCCCCCTCACTCCATAAAACTTCAACTTTTTGAACAGAACATCGTGCGAAACGCAATCGAATGCTTTAGAGAGATCGCACATTGTTAATATCACAATACCGTCAATAACCAGACTCACAGTTTTTCGAATTGCATCTGTTGTTGATCTACCCGCTCTGAATCCGTATTGATCTTCACTAAATAATTTGTTATTGATAAAAAAGGGTTTCTATTCAACTCATGATTAATAATTTGCCAAGTACTTTTTTTTATTATCAGAGTTTTCAACAAAATAAATGCCAAGATAATTTGCCGTTTCTGGACGTAATAGCGAAGATGATCAACAATACCTACTCACTAATGAATTCAACCATCACAGATCATCAAGTTTTTTTCTATATTGCTCACGATATAGTGATGAAAAAACAAATTGACCGTTTAAATAATGCCATGTTTTTGTAGCTCCATATCTCAAAAATATTCATTCCACTCTGTCATGGTATAAACTGATCGATAAAGAATTTTGTACTCTATACATTGAGGCTGTTCATTTATTTCCAAATTTTGACCCTTTTCAGTTTAAAACGACTTTTGGCCAATCTTCCTCTACGATTTCAAATTGAACCAAGGAGTAGCCGAAACAGCCCGAAAAATTAACAAGAGATTTGGCAATGATAGTGTTGATGAACGTTGGTTTGCGAAATTTCGTTCCGGAGATTTTAGTCTCGAAGGTGGATCTCTAAGTGGTCGATCTTCAGCAATCTAGGACCAGTACGACCCTGGTGGAAACAGGGTCGCCATCCCTCCCACACGGTGGGAGGGATAGCGGAAGAACTAAGCATCAGCTCCCATGCGGTTTTTGTTGATTGAAAAGGTATTGGAAAAAAAGATGAAAAAACTCGAAAAGTAGGTCACATTTCGAGGTTATTTCTTATTTACTTCTGCACAACCAGAAAGATAAAAAATGTATGCTCTACGACAACAGGACACGTTCAGGAGTGGTTGGACGCCGATAGGCCACCTAGGCGAAAGGCGAATGGGTACTGTAATGGTGGTCAGCGGCTATATAATTTTCTGCAAACGGGCCATACCATCAGAGTCCACAGAAGATGTCCGACTCTGGTCCACGATAACGTCCGTCCGCACGCTTCACAAATAACCGTCTGCCTCACCCACCATACCTACCACCCAGACCTCCGCCAACAGACTAACATATTTCCAAGCAGTTCTATAACTTTCTCACCGGTAGAACCTTCACCAATCAGGACAAGGCAAAATCGCATCCGTCGACTTCCAGTACGAGAGGATTACCACCTATTCATTCAATACCGCAGAAATGACAGAAATTTCTTCTTCAAAACATGTGTCTTATCCTCAGAGCCAGTTTGGCTTTGGGATACACCTCTATCATTCAACTGCGCAGGGTTACCTGCACTCCGAAACCTTGGAAAATCGAACAGCTTCATGTCGGATCACGGAAGAAGCATTCGATAATTTGTCTTTAGGATTTATCCAGGCGTCGAGGAGAAGAGGGATCAACGATATCAGCTGCAGGTACCTGAAAAAAGATTGGTTTGCAAAACCATCATGGTAGAGACAGTAGATCTGTTACGGAATTTTGAAATGGATGAGTTACTACGTCTTTTGGACCATGATGGATATATGGTTCTGACAATGGAGTCATTTTAGTCCAGGGTGAGAAAAATACAGTGAGGAGATTCATGCAGGAGACCCTGGGTGATAAAACAAGAAGATCTTCACATTAGCCTACTCAAATCATCCATAAAAACATTCATCAAGAGACCAAGTTAGAGGGGCTAGGACCTCTGCACCTACGAGGTAACGAAATACAACTGTCTGATTAATATCTGAGAGTGATCCTGGATCCAGACTGACCTGGAACCAACTTTTAGATGAGATAAAAAAGGCGGAGATAGCTCTGATGCTGGCAAGACTCATATTTGGAAAAATTTAGGGACAAAAACCTGTTATTTATTATAAGCTCATTGGTAATGAAAAGCATGACATGTAATTCGGTGGCAAAAACGAAAGAAAATAGGCAGGGTACAAAACTTGTTGTCAAAGGGAGTAACAAAATCACATCAACAGCAGCTTTCAAAGTATTTTTGAATCTACCTCCTATACAGTTTTTAATAATAAAATGAATAACAGTGGATGAATTCAGACTAGAAAATTCGTCAAGTTACAAGGAGTAGTGCAGAAATGGAATTCAAGTATGTGTAGAGTAAAAAACATCTAAAACTGTTCACTTCAAAGTTGAAGTAAAACTGGAAAAGCAAACAGTTATTCTAATACATACTTAGCATACAGATAGGATGAAAACTGAAAATTTAAGAGATAAACAATCTGATTTCGCAGCTGATTCCACTAATGATGTCTCGGAAATGGTGAGACTGCTAAGATTGTTAAATTAGACAAAAGCTCTCTATATTGTAGCAACCTCATCGGCCAATTATATGCATATTAATTTATATGTATTATAGAAGTATTATGGTTCTCTCATTGTCATTTATTTCGCTTGACTTGCTACAATGTGAGTTGTTATCCCTATTGAAATTGACACATTGTTTAAAAACGATATCATCAATGAAAATGTTAAAAAAAACTATAATAATCTAGAACAAAATATTTCACAACGCAAATCTGAAAACATTTTCAGAAAAAAAGCATATA